TCTGCAAATAGCAGCTGAGTATCCAACTTTGAAGACACTCATCGTTCATACAGGAAGTGATGAAGTTATGAACCGACAGTCAGAAATACAGAAGAAATATTTTATTCTGCTGCTGAATGCAGTTAAAAATTTCAACATGGATGTGTTCCTCAGTGGGCCCGTTCCCACAGCAAAAGGAGGAGCTGAGAGGTTCCAATTTCTGGCTGGAAACAAACAACAGGAAAAACCACAACAGCTGACGTCTGCTGGAGAAAACTGAGATATCAGTGGAACACAGCGTGCCAGTTACTGATAAGGAGACTGTTTCAGAATCAGAACCAGAGAGAGAGGAGTTACTTCAGCCTGCAGAATCAGCATCACAAAACAGAGGATCTCTTGGACTCTGAGACCCCAACAGGACAGCAAGTGGAAAGCCCCCTCCTGGATTTTACTAAAAACATGAAAGAACCTGGCAAGATTAATATCAAACAAACGCCACACCCAAATCCAGCTAACTCTCATCTTCCAGCCCCAGGAACTAAACCAAGTTCTACAAAAAGTCGCAGAACCCCACCACCACCTCTGACTCTTCGACACATCAAAACAGACAAGCCTGTTTGTGTTCAAGAGGATCCAAAGACTTTTGTGTGATAATTATGTTTTGGGTTTCGTAATTACAGTGGGAGGAATAAAAATTAAATTACTGTGGTTGTGCTTTCAGAGCATCATGTCGGTGCAAGGAAGGAGCATCGTACCAGAGTCTATTTTTCAGCCCGATTACGACCTCAAATGTCAACTTTAATTCGATTAGCATGCATTAAAATCAAAAACAGTTCTCTGTTTTATTTCTCATTTAAAATTTTGGCCTTTTCTTAGCAAAATAGCAACACAAACAACACATTCACACTTTCAGAGTCAGTGGTGCGTCCACCCTGTCTCTAGCTTATGGATACATTAACTAGCTTCCAGGTTTGAAATTTGCATATCACTTTAATCAATCAAATGTCCATCATTTGATTAATATCTTTGATACTTTTTGATTTCAAACTCCAAAGGTAGATAAATGTACACACGTTTCTGCTTCTTGCTGTTTAAAGCATGGTGTTCACACATACTTTAAAATTCACAGTTATTTTCTTTTTCAGTAAAACTCTAGGTTAAAATTAGAAATCAAATGGATTGTTTATCTAAGTTGTTCTAAATGGGAGTAAGATAACTGTTTAGTTTTAAAATCAACAAGATTAACTTTGGAAAATTAATTAGGATAATTTTAAGCTAAGATGAGATAAAGATAAAGTTGAACAGTTTTAGAAAACAAGTAATTATTTACAAGGTAACATTAAAAAACTGACAGTATTTTAAAAGCTATGTTTGTAGCTATGTTTGTAGAAGGGAGCTGTAATCTAACCTGGTTTTAATGTTTTAAGTTTTGGGTATATTCTAAAATGGATAATTTGTGAATTATTTAAATACGCAAATTATCTTCCCTCGAGGCACCACACTCTTAATTTGGTCAAGGATTAACCCAGGAAAGAGACAAAAACCTATAACTTTATTGTAATCAGTCTCACAATAAATGTACCCAAAATCGTTTGAGTCCTTGTCTTATCAGAACCAATAATACTTTAAGACACAAAAGTCACATTAGATTAAATTTTATTGTACATCTTAGACATTCACTCGTAACATTTTCATGAAATTCACATATAGAAACTCATGGTGGGCACTCATGGCTATAGGTGGCCAGATGGCACCACTCTTGCCTCCAGTGCCTGTGCCCATCCCCCAAGGTTTGCATATAGACACTTAGGGTTTTGGGTT